CTTCCATTGAAGCAGACACCGTGGCCGATGCGCTCCTGACCATTTTCAGCCGAGTGGGGTTCCCCAAGGAAGTCTTGACAGACCAAGGGTCCAACTTCATGTCGGCCCTGCTCCGGTGCTTGTGGGAGAAATGTGGGGTCCGGCACGACTGGGCCTCAGCTTATCACCCCCAGTCCAATGGGCTGGTGGAGAGGTTCAATGGGACGCTAAAGATGATGCTGAAAACCTTTATGAACCAGCACCCGCAGGATTGGGACAAGTACTTACCTCACCTGCTGTTCGCGTACAGGGAGGTGCCCCAGGAGTCTACCGGATTTTTGCCTTTCGAACTGCTATATGGAAGGAGGGTATGGGGGCCCCTGGACCAGATAAGAGACGAATGGGAGGGGAAGGCCACTCCCGATGGAGAGTCAGTGGTGGAGTATGTCCTGATCTTCCGAGAGAGACTGGCTGAACTCATGGGCCTGGCCAGGGAGAATCTGGCCAGAGCCCAGAGGAAGCAGAAGGTCTGGTATGACCGCACGGCAAGGGCCCGCGCCTACGCCACTGGGGATCCGGTGATAGTTCTCATCCCCGTGAGAAAGAACAAACTACAGGCCGCCTTTCAAGGTCGTCAAGCAGCTCAATGAGGTAAACTATGTGGTGGAGCTGTCGAACCGGGCGCACCACCACCGGGTGTACCATGTGAATATGATGAAGCCATATTATGCCAGGGGGAATGTGGTGTTGGCCGTGTGTGGACATTGGGAGGAGCAGGGAGACGACCCTTTGGTAAATATATTCCCTGAGACCAGAGCTGGCTCCCCCGTGGAAGCAATTCCCCTTTCGGATCAGCTAACCCCTGCCCAGCAAGCTGAGATCAGAGGGGTGCTGCATCAGTACCGACAGCTGTTTTCCAACCCGCCTAGACACACTAATCTGACTGTCCACCGGGTGCAGACAGGATCACACCCGCCGATAAGATGCTCCCCGTTCTGAGTCACAGGGAAAACTGTTCAGGACCTGGAAAAAGAGGTCAGAGACATGCTGGCCGTGGGGGTGATCCAGCCATCTGCCAGCCCTTGGGCCTCGCCGGTGGTGCTGGTCCCCAAAAAGGACGGGTCGGTCCGGTTCTGTGTGGACTATCGGAAGCTCAATGCCATCACTGTATCTGATGCCTACCCCATGCCCAGGCCCGATGAGCTCCTGGACAAGCTGGGAAAAGCTTGATACCTTACCACCATGGACCTTACAAACGGGTACTGGCAAGTGCTGCTGGATGCAGATGCCCGGCTGAAATGGGCCTTTATCACCCCTCTGGGGCGCTATGAGTTCCTGACCCTGCCTTTCGGCCTCAAGGGAGCGCCGGCCACCTTCCAGCGCCTGGTGGATCAGCTACTGAGGGGGATGGAGAGTTTTGCCGTGGCATATATTGATGACATCTGTGTCTTTAGCCAGACCTGGGAGGACCACGTGTCCCAGGTTAGACAAGTGCTGGACCGACTCCAGGGGGCTGGGCTGACTGTAAAAGCTGAGAAGTGCAAGGTGGGGATGGCGGAAGTATCTTACCTGGGCCATCGGCTGGGGAGCAGCCGCGTAAAGCCGGAACCAGCTAAGGTGGAGGTGATCAGAGACTGGCCCGCGCCTCAAACCAAAAAGCAGGTCGAAGCCTGTATTGCGTTGGCAGGATACTATCCAAGGTTTGTGCCCCGCTTTAGCGCCATAGCCGCCCCCATCACTGAGCTATGCAAGAAGGGGAAGCCAGACAAGGTGGTCTGGACCGAGCAGTGCCAGGAGGCTTTCCGGGCGCTGAAGGAGGCTCTAGTCCGTGGCCCAGTTCTGGCAAACCCATACTTTGACAAGTCCTTTGTGGTGTTCACCGACGCCTCAGACACGGGACTGGGGGTGGTGTTAATGCAGGAGGATGAAAAGGGGGAGAGACACCCCATCGTGTACCTGAGCAAGAAGTTGCTACCCCAGGAGCAGAACTACGTGGCCGTCGAGAAGGAGTGCCTGGCCATGGTGTGGGCCCTTAAGAAACTAGAGCCCTATCTCTTCGGGCGACACTTCACCGTCTACACCAACCACTCTCCCCTGACCTGGTTGCCCCAGATGAAAGGAGCCAACGCCAAGCTCCTGAGGTGGAGCCTGCTCCTGCAGGATTACGACATGGACGTGGTCCATGTGAAGGGAAGTGCCAACCTGATAGCGGATGCGCTGTCCCGGAGAGGGGGCCCCGAACTTCCCCAGGTCACTGGTCACAGTGACCCCGCTCAGTTCAGTCTCGAAGCAGGGAGAGATGTGATGATGTGACACAGCAGGGAGGGGGAGTGTTGACCTGGGATTGTGGCTGGGGAGTTTCACTGGGGATGGGAGACCTGAGAGCCTGTAACCTGAGCCAGGAGGGGGAGGGGGAAGGTAACACCTCTGCCCGGGAAACTGGACAAAGGCTGCAGGAGGGAGCCTGCTGGGGGGGTTTGGTTTCAGTTTGGGGCTGGGTGGTAGAACGCAGGGATCCCCAAGGCTGGGGTCTAAGCTCCCTGCTCCCCCAGAAGGACTTGACTGAGGAGCCCTGGTTGTACCCACAAGCTCTGTTTTGGACTGTGTTCCTGTTGGCCAATAAACCTTCCGTTTTACTGGCTGGCTGAGAGTCACGATGAATCCCAGGAAGAGGGGTGCAGGGCCCGGACTCCCCCACACTCCATGACACCTATCCCTCCCCAGTCAGAGTCAGAGCAGGCTGACCCGGCAGGATCCAGCATGCCAGCATCACTAGAAGAATATCAGAGTCTGTCATGCAGGGGTAAGGGGCTGAGGGCTCCCCAGAGTTGTGAGCTCCTGGACCTCAAACACAGAGCCCAGGTCCCAGCCAGACTTCGTGTGGACCCCTGCGGAGCAGCCCTGTCCCTCACCACACACCCACCCATGGGCCAGCACTCAGCCCCGAGAACCACACCCAGCCCCCCGCCTCAAAGAGACCTGGGGGATTCCAGACATGTGACAGGCCGACAGTGCGATCCCCCGACTCAGGATGGGGAGACAGCCCCACCCCGGGTGCATGACGGGTCCGAGTTTCCCTTGTCCAGAGAGGCTTGAGGACAGTGCCCCACTACCCAGGAGGGAACCGAGACTCCCAGGCAGCACGCCCCCAGCACCTCCCCTGCCTCCTTCTCGGAGCTTGGGGCTGGTTCCTTGCTTGGCCCCAGTCCTCCCTCATTGCTGCCCCTGATTACCATGCTGTAAGCCACATGCTCCTCCGGCCCAGCCTCCATTCAACACCCTCCCCTGCCCTCCCCTCAACCCCTCGACCCCCCTTTCCTCAGCCAATGCCCCTCCCCTCCACCCCATTCCCTCAGCCAATGCTTCTCCCCTCAAACCCTCGACCCCTTTGGGCAACAACCCTCCCCCCAAATCCCCAGCCTGCCCCCTTCTGCTCCCACCTCCTCTTCCCCCTCTCCGGTCCCAGCTCCCCCCATACAGAGTGGCATTCAGCTGCCCACCTGCCTGTGTGGGCAGAGACACTTGCCCAGGTGGCTGTGTGACTTCCCCAACCACCCCAGGGCCATGGCCCAGCATCCCGCCAGCCAGACAAAGCCTGCCTATCTGCCTGTCCTGCCCCGCATTGGCCTCCTTTGCGGGCACCACACGGAGCCAGCTCACGGCAGCAGGGCGGGAGCACCTCAGTGCCGGCTGCATCACATTCTCCAGCCCCAACCGCTCCCACTACTCTGGTGGCTGCAGAGTAGCTGCAAAGCCCAGCAACGCGGGCCGTGGAGTCAGACAACCACTCCTCAGCGGTGCGGCTGGGTGTTGACTCTGAACCCTAATGACACTGATGCCAACGTAGCTGGCATTTCGCTGCTGACCCCAGTGGGCTGCAGAGGACAGGAGTGCTCTCCTGTACTGGGAATGCAGCCCCTTTTGCCACCGCCAGTGAGTAGAGTATGGGAGGGGCCCAGCAGCCAGGCTCCTTCCTATTCCCCACCCTGCTGGGGCGGAGCCTCTGGCTCAGCTCTCTGCCAAGGTGCTACACAGAGGGAGATGGCCTGGCCTGGCGCTCGGGCTCGCCAGGCAAAGGGTGCTGTCAACCACAGGAGTTTGGCTCTGCACCCCACCTGTGCCAGTCCAGTGCGAGAGATGCAGCGTTGCCGGTGGGGGATCACACCAGCCGGCTGCCCCAGTGCGTGTCACACACTTGTGACTTCACTGCCGCATGCCATCACGGTGACTGCTCAGCGCACCGTGGGTAGGACCCTCTGCCCTCCACCCACCTGCAGGCTCTTTGCCTTGTGGGATACCCAGCGACCGGGGGGCAAGGGCGAGAGTTGGGGTCCAATGCCCACAGTTCTCGCTGGTCTAGCCCATGATTCTCCACTCGCCCACGCTGGCTCCAATCTGCTTGCCCAGCAGGGAGGAGGCACAGAGGATGAGGGCGTGATGCTCTCCCCTCACAGTGCCCCAGCTGGAACCTCTGCCCATCTGCCCCGTCCCACGAGTGGCTTGTGAGAAGTGCTGGCGGGTCAGGCCCCCAAGGGTCTCTCCGTCCTGGGCCCTGGGCACTGCCCGTCTCTGCAGTGCCCTGAGGCCTGACAGCTGCTCAACCATCTGTTGGCTCAGGGGAACCTGTCCACTCCTGGATTGTCTCCTCCTTAAGGCTGGGCCCCACAGCTGTCGCTGATCCTACGGGCAGAGGAAACCCACCCCAGGCTGCGCTGCTCAGCGTGGGTTGTTTCCTGCCAGCGGGGCCCCTGCACAACGCCCGCCCATGCTGCAACACGCAGCCCTCAGCAGTCAAGAAGAGTGGGAGTGGCCAACAGCTTCTTACACAAACCAACTGGCCCATCTTGCTGCCAGGGAGGTGGCCCAGCGGCGGGATCCCGGGCTTGGGCACCGTGCCACCTTGCCCTGCACCGTGATCCTGGCCCTGCTCCGGCCATGTGGGGACGTGCAGGGGCAGCCAGGTGACCCTGAAGCCATGCACAGCACCGCGGAGCACAGGATGCCCCACCCCACCCTCCTACCTTCTCCCGCTGGACGAGCTTCTTGTAGACGGAGTCGGGGAAGGAGCGGAGTGGGCAGAACTTGCCAGTGCCTTCAGCGCACATGAAGACGCCATTCTCGTAGACCACACGCCCGCGGCTGATGGTGACCAGCGGCACCCCGTGGCAGCGCATGGTCTCGTACAGGTTGATGTCTCCCCCCTGCACCTGGGTGCTGGCAGAGATGGTCCTGCGGGTGGCACAGCCGGAGCAGCTGGTTACAGCTGGGCCCAGAGAGGAGGCTCACGGCACTGGGGCAGCCCTGTGCTACGAGCCAGCAGCTCCTCTGCCCAAGCACAGCGCAGCCCGGAGTCCCCAGAGCAATGAGCAGCACCGACCGGGAGCGGGACACGGATCGCTGTCCCCCCGGCCAGGGTCTGTTCGGCACCGACCGGGAGCGGGACACGGATCGCTGCCCCCCCCCCCGGCCAGGGTCTGTTCGGCACCGACCGGGAGCGGGACACGGATCGCTGCCCCTCTCCCCCTGCCATCCCAACCAGAGTCTGTTCCGGGCTCATCGGGCACCTCCTGGCACCAGGAGACGGATCGCTGCCCCTGACCAGGGTCTGTTCTGGGCCCGTTGGGCACCAACTGGGACTGAGACACGGATTGCTGTCCCTCTCCCCCTGCCACCCCGACCAGGGTCTGTTCTGGGCCCGTCAGGCACCTCCCGGCCCTGGGCAAAGACTCTCTGCCCCTCCCCCTTTGCCCCATTCCTACCTGGTGGCTTCAGGGTCCCACACCACGATGTCTGCGTCGGCCCCGGGGATGATGCGGCCCTTCCGTGGGTACAGGTTGAGGATCTTGGCCGCGTTCGAGCTGGTCACAGCTACAAAGCGGTTCTCGTCCATCTTCCCCCCGACCTGCAAACACAGTAGGGGGCTGAGATGGTGCAGTGGGGCGTGCTCTGCTATGGTCCCTCTGGGAGGGGTGGGCAGACAGGGACGCAGCCCGGGGTGTGGGCACTGCTGTCAGAGGGAGAGTTCCCGGCTCCTGTGCGTCCCCTCTTTCCCTCTCCCCTGTGTGCACATCCTGCCCCATCACGCCAGCAGCTGGGAGAGGACGCTGCAATTGCCCCCTGGGGGGTGCCCTATCATAGGACCCCAGCCAGGTCACTCCTAGCTCACCCTAGCCTCATGCTGCAGGGCTGAGCAGGGGGATCCAGCACCAGCCAGGGACTGCCTCATGGGGCGGGCACAACCCAGCTGCAGACGTAACACCCACCCCCTGTTACCACAGCCCCAGAGAGCCTGGTCACACCCCCCTGGACTGCAGCCCCCTGGGGGGGGGCAACGGTGTAGCTCCACCCCTAGTGCGCAGGGAGAACGGGCTCTTGCTGTGGGAGGGAACAGGACACTGGGATCTGGCCCCAGGCTGTCGTACCCATGAGCGATTGGGGTCTCAGTGGTCCATCTCCCCTGGCAGGGCGTGGCGGTCCCGAGAGCACCACCCCTAGCACGGCCCCCCGCAGCACCGGAGGTGGCCAACTCCTGGATGCCGACCAGCGCGTGCCAGACTCCTCATGCCCCATTCACAGCTGTGCCACGCCCGCTGCGGGGGCCACGTACCACACCCCGCTCCCAGATGACGCTCATGCGATCTTGCACGCCGCTCACGCCGTGGGGGATCTTGGTGAAGTCCTCCTTGCCCATGGCTTTCTGCTTGCTGGTGAAGGGCCGGTGGTCGGAAGCCACGACATTGAGGGTGTCGCTGCCAGGAGAGAGGGGAACAGGGGTTACCGGCCCGGCGGCTGCGGTGCTGCTCTCCACACCTGGCAGGGCCACCTGGCACATTCGTTACAGACCACGTGCCCGTGGCTGGGGCCTCCCTAGCGCCCAGCAGCGGGGCAGAGAGTGCCCTGCCTGGGGCTCTAACGGGACTCAGGCAGCGCCAGACCCGCAGGATTAGCCCCTTGCCCAGCAGCCCCGGGCGCCCAGCAGTGCCCAGCAGCCCTTACTTGGCTAGCAGGCTCATGAGGTAGGTGGAGGTGTTGGTGTCCAGCCGCAGGGGCGGCACGGTGACGTAGGCGGCGGCGTGGGACCAGTCCTGGTGGTAATAGTGCAGGCCCGTCAGCGTGGCGTGCGCCGTGGTGGTCTCTGCATACACCACCTTCCCTGCAAAGAGAGAGCGGACACGGCTGTCGGGGGGACGGGCTCTGGCGCTGGGGTGGTGCCCACTGCAGCCCAGGGCAGCGTGTGGATTGCCTAGGGGCAGGAGTGTTTCTCTCGCCACCCTGCCAGCCACATGGCGAGGCAGCAGATGGATCCCCGCCCCAAGGAGGAGACGGTCTGCAGAGTCATCTGACGGGCGGGCACCAGCCGCCCCGGCACAGGGACCCTGGGCTGGGTTCCGCAGAGCCATCTGATGGGCTGGCACCTGCCGCCTGGGCACAGCATTACACTGATGGTATGGGGGAAACTGAGGCAGGGGGACAGGGAGGGACTTGCTTGGGTCAGGTATCAGCAGAGCCAGGTAGGGGCTAGGACTTGGCGCCCTCACCCCCAGGCCTATGCTGCGGCTACTAGACCCCAGGGCTCTCAGGGCCACAGAGCCTCTGTCTGCCCCACGTACCATCACTGCAGGGCAGCAACGTGGCTGGGGCTTGGGCCACCCCCCTCGCTGCTTGGGGACGGCGGTGTCACTGGGGGGCATGTGCTGGAGGCTGTGTGGAGAGGTGGGGCTGGGTTAGGGGCCTTGGAGGGGTGAGGCCGGGTGTGTGTTGGGAGCAGTGTAGAGAGGTGGGGCTGGGTTGGACAGCAGGTGGGGGTGCATGTTGGGGGTAGGGTTGCCAACTTTCTAATCACACAAAACTGAACACGCCTGCCTTGCCCCTCCCCCTCCCCCAAGGCGTTGCCCCTGCCCTGCCCCTTCTCCAAGGCCCCATTCCTGCTCACTCCATCCCCCCTCCCTCCATCACTCTCCCCCACTCTCACTCACTTTCACCGGGCTGAGGCAGGGGTTTGGGGTGCAGGAGGGGGCTCAGGGCTGGGGCAGGGCGTTTGGGGTCCCAGTGGCACTTACCGCGGCTCCCAGAAAGCAACCGCCAAGTCCCTGCAGCCCCTCGGCGCATGGGCGGCCAGGGAGAATCCGCACGCTGCCCTCCTGCCTGCAGGCACCGCCCCCGCAGCTCCCATTGGTCGCAGTTCCCAAGCGCAGAGCCCTGCCGCGGAGGGACAGCGCCCAGCCTTACCTTGCATCTTAGCGGCAGCCACGACGTCGCCGGCAGACACGCTGGACACGTTGACCAGGTAGACGGGGCAGTGAGTCTGAGAACGACAGCACAGGTCTCAGCACCGGTGCCAGCTGGCTCAGCCTGCCCTGCCCGCCTGCCTGCCCGGCTCACACCGAGGGCTCCGGTCCATGGGAAGGTGAGAGCCCAGCTCACCTCTGCCCCTGCACCCCCCACTAGAGCACAGCAATCCCTCTGGGCGGGGGCGCCGCCCGGGGAGCCACTCAGGGAGCCGCCATGGCCCTGTGCCCACAGACAACGTCACCAAGGGCTCCAAGGATGGACAGGCCATCTCCAGGGGGCAGGCAGCCCAGCAAGGGCAGGGGGCCCTGGGCGCCAGGGTCAGACAGGCTGTGTCCATGGGGCAGGCAGCCCAGTGCAGGCAGGGTCCCAGGGACAGATGGGGCACCAAACACACAAGAAACCCCTCCCCCCAACAGACAGGATCCTGCCTTCTCCAAAAAATCCCCGCCGACGCCTACCACTGCTGCCCCTGGACTGATCCCCAGCTCCCTGCTCCCACCCTTGGGCAGTGCCCATCCCCTGCCCGGGCCTGGCTCAGGATCCGGCCAAGAACCAGGGCTGGGGGGAGGGGGTGGGTTACAGTTGCAGGGAGGTGGGGCAAGAGTCCAGCTCCACCCCACCACCCCCCGCAGCCAGGGCCCTGTGCCCCAGCCATGCCATCGTGAGCACAGCTGGGCTTTGGGCCAGCACCAGCTCCACTGCCGGTTAGGGTGGTGAGGTGGGTCCTGTCTGTTACAGCCGAGAGCTGGGACCCAGGTATTCTGGCACAGACTGACCAAGCAGCACAGCGCGGGGCTGGAATGGCAGGGCACTCGCAAATGGGACCAGTGCGGGGAATGGGGGAGGAGGGGCCATTGCAAGCTTCCTGCTGAGGGCCCGGCCCCACAGCTCCAAGAGGGGCTGAGTGGAGGTGGGGGGAATGGAGGGCAGCATGGCCAGCAGGGGCACTCCCTGCTGGGCAGCCCGGGAGGGAGGAGGGCTCAGGGCGGGGGCAGAGAGCTCTGACCGTGCCCAGATCAGGGGTGCTGTGTGTGTGGGGGGGGGGGGTGTCCTGGGGGCACTCACCCGGTTGGCGATGGTGATCACACGGTGCGTGGCTTCAGCCTCCAGCTGGGGGACAGAAAAGACGGTGACGCTCTGCTGAGTGCAGACCACCCGCGACAGCCCCACCTCTGGGGGATCTACCCGGCCCCCCATCCAGAGAACCCTGCACTGCGGCTCCCACAGCAGGGCTTGGAGACCGTTCCCCCAAAGCTGGCCCCATGCTTGGTGTGATGGGAAATCACCGTTCTCTAGTGAGGAAACTACATGGCCCCCTGTTGGTGCAGCTCCCAAAGAGCCTGCCCCACGACCGGGGGACCCGGCCTTCCTGCCCCACAGCCCGCCTGACCAGCCCCCAGTCAAGGAGACAGCAGCCCGCAGGGCCCTGGTCACCCCAGGGTGAGTGCTCAGCAGACACTGAGAACAGGCTGGCTAGATTCCTGCCCAGCCAGGCAATGGCTGGATCACAGAGCAGCTGGACACAGCTGGAGGGGTCCAGAGGCTCAGTGCCCGGCTGGGGGTGGGGCACAGCAGGGTGGGGGGCGCTCACCCCCAGGACGGGGCGGGGTAAGGCAGTTTGTAGGGCAGGGACAGCACAAGAGGGTGGGAAAGGGGAAGGAGCAGGACGGCCACTCCCCCCGGCAGCTGGGAGGGGCTGGGGCAGCCAATGCTCCCCACCACGTGGCTGGGAGGGGGCTGGGGCGGAGACCCCCCCCTGGCCAGCAGGCAGTCTGCAGGGCGAGGCCGAGCGCTCACAGAGCCGTGCTGCAGCACATGGACACAGCTCATCCAGGCACAGGCGGGTGGGGCGCCAGGGCCCGCCAACAGAAGCAGCGTGGCTGGAACGAGCCAGCGTGGCAGGGAGCCAGATGGGGCCACGCTTGCTGGAGTGTCCCAGGCTGTGGGGAGCCTGCACTTGAGCAGCCTTCGGGCTGGGGTGCCCGGCACACTCCATCGCAGCACCCAGCAGGAGCTAAGGGCTGGGGACGAGCACTGAGGGGCGGCTGGGAGAGCGGAGAGCTGCCAGCAAACCCAGAAGGGCTGGTCTAGCCAGGATGGGGCCCCAGGGGGAGTGATGGGAACCCCTAGCTGCGGGCCCTGTCGCTCATCTTCCAAGGTCTGGAGCCCTGCCTGCTGCCGCCCACGGAGAGGGCAGGGGAGCCCAGCGCAGGCCTCACCTCCTCCGGTCGGCTGATCTCGATTCCCTCTGGTCCCGTGATGCCCAAATCCAGCGCCTCCTTCGCGCCCTGGGAGGGAACAGGGAGTTGGTGGGAAGAGCCAAGAGCAGGAGCAGGGAGCCCAGGCCCAGCAGAGCCTGGGTCAGTCTGAGTGGGCACAGGCTGCCCTGAATCCCTTCTCTGTCCCCTCGGCCTAGCTGGGCCGCAGCGGCCTGGACACATTTGGGGCCCAGCCCCCTGTACCTGAACGGCCCGTGTGTGGGCAGAGACAGCTCCTCTCCCCACAGCCGCCTTGCCCCTCGTCCTGAGCACCCCACTAAAGCCGACCATGGGCTCCAAGAATGGCACTTGCTGACGAATTACAAACCAACCCTCTGGGGGGTGACGTGGCTCTGGGGGGTGGGGAGCAGCATGGGGCTCAGCTCTGCCCGTCCGAGGTACACATTTCTCAGCACGAGCTCACCAAGAGCCCCCAGCTCTCCAGCCACAATCCTCGGCAGCATCTGCCCCGGCGCAGCCCACGTGTGCTCACCTCCGCCACCAGCTCCCCGTTCTCAGCGTGCACCCGGGCGATGGCGCCAATGTCCTTGCAGGCGAGGAAGACTTGGTAGAGCTCGCTGTCCCGCAGCATGTACAGGTCCTTGTAGGTCATGAACATCTGGAAGGAGTTCACCCCCTTCTCCCGCACCAGGCTCTCCATCTCCGACTTCACCTGCCAGGCCACGGGGGGCAGGGTGAAGGACAGGCACGGCCAGGCCGGCCATCTGCCGTGGGGCTGGGCATGCTCCCACAGGACTGGGCCCCATGTGCAGAGCAGAACCCATCCCTCCACCTGCCCTCTAGCAAGATCAAGTGTGCCACCAGGTTAGGGGGGCCAGACACCAGCCGTGCTCGGCCCCGCACCAGCAGCAAGCCGCTCAAACGGCTGTCACAGGACCTAGGGTGTGCGGGAGAGCCAGTCCCATGCAGACTCGCACACGGACAAACCAGCCAACTCAGGCCCAATGGCGGCCAGTGCAGCCACTCAAACGGCTGTCACCGGAAGACCTAGGGCAGTGGTTCTCAGCCAGGGGTCCGGGGCCCCTAGGAGGCCTTGAGCAGGTTTCAGGGGGGCCTCCAAGCAAGGCCAGCATTAGACTTGCTGTGGTCCAGGGCAGAAAGCTGAAGCCCCAACGCATGGGGCTGAAGCCTGAGCAATGCAACTTCCTGGGGCCCCCTGTGGCATGGGGCCCCAGGCAACTGCCCTGCTTGCTACTCCCTAAAGCCGGCCCCGGCTTTTATATGCAGAAAACCAGTTGTTGTGGCCCAGGTGGGCCGTGGAGTTTTTATAGCATGTTGGGGGGGCTCAGAAAGAAAAAAGTTGAGAACCTCTGACCGAGGGCATGTCGGTGGGGGGCATGTCAGCACAGGGCAGCAGGAGCTCTTGGGCTTGTGATCGCAAGTGCAGAACCGCTGGGGCCCCGAGCAGCAGCCCAGGGGCCAGGCCTGCCCCCCAAGAATCCCACGATCCCATGCTAGGGGAGCTGCAGCAAACCCCATTGGCCAGGGCGACCCCCCCGCTGGGGCTGGCGTACTGGCGATGCCTGAGAGCAGGGAGAGCGCTATGCTAGCTGCCCAGGGACAGACACAGACCAGCTAAGAGCTGTGGCTGGAGAAGGTCCCATACAGGAAGGGCCTGGTGCCCGGGGGTAGCCCTGGCATGCAGCCTGCTCTGGGGTAGGGGTAAACCAACTGCACCCCAAGCCCAACTCATGCAAAGCACCATGGGAGCTCCCGCAGCCACACAGCACAAAGGGACGGACGAAGGGCTGGGAATCTGGGGCTGGAGAGAGCTGGCGAAGGCCAGGCTGCAGCTGTCAGCCCCAACATGTGGGCGCATGGTTCTACCTCTCGTCCAAGGCTCACTCGGTCACCCCATGCTGGGCATTCCCCGACTCCACTGATGCCAGGAGCGCACGGGGCTTGGGCCAGCATCCTGCCACCTGTGCTGGGGGGTGCTGGGGCCAGCGGGGTGTGGAGGGCACAGCCTGTGTCCGTCTGCAGCACCGGGGCCGGCTGAGCAGCCCATGGCTAGCGGGTGAGCGGCTGCTGCTGTGTGGGGTTAGCGGCGGGTACAGACAGCTCAGAGCAGAGCCTGGGGCTGGGGGAGGGCAGGGGGCTCATACAAAACAACCCAAACAGCAGCTAAGCAGCTGGAGCAGCCTGGCCAGGGCGGCAGGTAGCACGGGCTCCAGCAGCTGTTCTCCTGGCCCAGGGCCCCATTTGCTCATACACCTGGGCACGCCCTCCCATGGGGGCACCTGGCGAGGGCCTGAGACTCCCAGCCGGCCCCCAGCACACCCTCCCCCAGCGGCACTGGCGCACCGCAGCCCCCTTGCTGTTAGGCAGGGTCCTGGTGGGGGAGCAGCTCTCCTTGGGGCTGTCGGGGGGGTCGCTCTGGCCCTGGGGCATGTGCCACGGCTCAGGCCTGGGCTGTCCCAGCTCATGGCCACCCCATGAACCAGCCTCAGTCCAAATGCATTGCCCCACCCAGAAGCCACCCCCAGCCCAGCTCTGCAGAGCCAGCACCCACTGCCACAGTGCCCGTCCCCCAGCGGGGATCTCAGTGGGGCACTCACGAGGCAGCTGGGGTCCCATGCCAAGCCAGGAGGAAAGGACTCAGGAGGGCTCAGCCCCTGGGCATGTTTTCAGGGTTCCTGTCCCTGTGAACGGCTGGCCCAGGAGCTGCCAGCGCAATACAGACAGTAACAGGGATGGGAGAGAACCAGCCGCCGAGAGATGGGAGGCGGGGTGCAGGCATGCAGCATGAGCCCCTGCAGCCTGGCCACTGGCCCCTCGCCAGACCGAGCACTGGGGTCCTTGCTCACCTTGGGGGCCCACCAGGTGATGCCCATGTGCAGGGCGTAGTCACAGCAGACCTTGGGGTCGGCCAGGCTCCGGCACTTCTCATAGGCGTCCAGGAGGGAGGTCTCCCTGTCGGGCAGCACGTGGCCGATGACCATGGTCGTCCCTCCAACCAGAGCAGCCTGCGGGGGACAGGAGAGGGGCTCGAGTCATGCTGGTCAGGGCAGAAGGGAGTTTACACTGGGCTGAGCAAAGGGCATCGTCCTGCCCTCGGTGAACCCAGCTGGGCCCCCAGGTTGCAACCCACAGCTCTGTGGGGCTTGTTTGATCACCTGCTTGCCCTGATCCAGACACCGCTCTGGGGAGAGGCTGTGGGAACACGCTCAGACACCCAGCTGATGGGAGGGAAGAAAAAACGAGTTTTCTCTAGGTCCTACAGTAAATGGCTATCGGTTGCTCTGTCTTGTCCTATGAATCCAGGTACATCTATGGCCCCCAGCACTGCAGTCTCCGAGCATCACCCAGTCGGCGGTGTCTCTCTCCTCACACCCCCTGTGTGCAGGGCAGGGCCTGGACAGGTGGGGATTGGGACCTGCTCTCCCAAGCCCCAGGCTAGTGCCCTACCCAGGGGTAGGTCTGTCTCTGCAAGGCAGCCGGGAGTTCTGGTGAGTCAGCCCAGCGAGGGGCCAGCCTGCTACCCCCGAACCATTCAGCCAGGCTAGGGCCAAGCAAGCCGGAAGCCGGAGCAGGCCGTGGGCACTGGCTGAAGTCCAGTCAGGAGGGGGAACGCTGGCTCCCCCCACGAGCATGGCCAGGCTGGAAGGAGTCATCTGGCTGGCTCCCTGCACAGCCAGAGGCAGGGGCTGCAAAGATGGCCCCAGAGCAGCTGGACTCTCCCTGGGAGGTTCCTATGCACCCCAGAGTCCAGCCTGCAGTGTAAGGCCCAGTTGGCAGAGGGGGTGGGGAGCAGCCATAGCTCAGCGGTCCCCGCCCCTGCCCCTGACCACAGCTGCCCAGCACAGACCCCGGCAGTGCTAAGCTCAATGTCTAGCTGGCAGCTGGTATCAAGTGGAGTGTCCCAGGGGTCGGTCCTGGGGCCGGTTTTGTTCAACATCTTCAGAACTGATCTGGAGGATGGGCTGGATTGCACCCTCAGCCAGTCCGCAGATGACGCTAAGCTGGGGGGAGAGGTAGATACGCGGAGGGTAGGGATAGGGTCCTGTAGCGGCGGGGTCACCCGCTCTGGCCTTAAAGGGCTTACAACAGCCCAGGAGAGGAATGTGGCTGGGAGCAAGCAGTTCCCAGGCTGATTGGGGAAGCAGGCTCAGCTGGCCCGTATCAGAGGGCAGCGGGCCAAGAGCAGACAGAGTCTCCTTTAGCTGTGGAGGGAGATGGGCCTGGCGGCTGGGGAGCGTACCTGGGTACCGGAGGTGGAGCAGGCCTGGGGGACGGCCAAGGGAGCTGAGGAGCTCCGGCCTGGAAACCCCCCAGGCTGCAGGCCTAGGGTAAGGCCCGATAGGTACTGGGGTTACAGGGGGCAGCCCATGGGTAGGCAGAGACAGCAGGTCCAAACCCCCCTTGCCTGTGATGATTGGCTTATACACTGCAGTCTGCCCCAGTGTGCGGGGGCTCAATGGTGACTGGCAGTGGCCAAAGACTGAGGCGAGGTGGGGATAGTGGGTGGGGGTTCCCCAAGATGGGGAGACCCAGAGACTGTGGGGGTACTGCCAGGGGGCAGCACCCTGGGTAAAAGGGTCACCAGGGTCCAGGAGGGACAGGGGGGCCAGTGGCAAGCGGGACACCGGCCTGCAGAGGGCACTCCAGAGGCTAGAACGCTAATTCCCTGGACGACCAGCAGAAGGCGCCGCAGGGGTGAGTCGCCGCCCCGTTACAGGTCCAGAGTGACCTAGACAAATTGGAGGATTGGAACAAAAGAAATCTGATGAGGTTCAACAAGGACAAGTCCAGAGTCCTGCACTTAGGAAGGAAGAATCCCAGGCACTGCTACAGGCTGGGGACCAACTGGCTAAGCGGCAGTTCTGCAGAAAAGAACCTGGGGATTACAGTGGGCCAGAAGCTGGATATGAGTCAACACTGTGCCCTTGTTGCCAAGAAGGCCAACGGCATATAGGGCTGTATTAGTAGGAGCACTGCCAGCAGATGGAGGGAAGTGATTATTCCCCTCTACTGGGCACTGGTGAGGTCACACCTGGAGTACTGCGTCCAGTTTTGGGCCCCCCACTAAAGAAAGGATGTGGATAAATTGGAAAGAGTCCAGCGAAGGGCAACAAAAATGATTAGGGGACTGGGGCACATGACTTATGAGGAGAGGCTGAGGAAACTGGAGTTATTTCATCTGCAGAAGAGAAGAATGAGGGGGGATTTGATAGCAGCCTTCAACTACCAGAAGGGGGTTCCAAAGAGGATGGAGCTCGGCTGTTCTCAGTGGTGGCAGATGACAGAACAAGGAGCAATGGTCTCAAGTTGCAGTGGGGGAGGTCTAGGTGGGATATTAGGAAACACTATTTCACTAGGAGGGTGGTGAAGCACTGGAATGGGTCACCTAGGGAGGTGGTGGAATCTCCTTCCTTAGAGGTTTTAAAGGCCCGGCTTGACAAAGCTCTGGCTGGGATGATTTAGCTGGGGTTGGTCCTGCTTTGAGCAGGGGGTTGGACTAGATGAACTCTTGGGGTCTCTTCCATCCCTGACCTTCTATGATACACCCACTCCCAGGTGCTAAGACGCCTGGTAGGCCACGGAATAAGCCTTCTACAGGAACCGGGAGCCCCCCCAGACCTGTCGGCCATGTGCCCCCAGCCGGCAGGAGCTCCAGTGCACAGCCCAGGAGATTTGTGCTCCAGCAGCACCGGGGGAGCCACAGGGAGAGGAGGGGGGAGCCCCCGGACAGCTCCCCATCACTGCTCACAGGCAGCACCACGTCTACGTCCTGAGCAAAACACCCTCAGTGCGCGTGCACACACGCACACTCTCTCATCTCAGCACCCCCAATGCACAAGAACCGAGCCCCCCACCTCCCTTGGTATCCAACACCAGCCCCCACCCCGGGTACTCTGCAGACCCCACGCCAGCAGTGCCCCACCCCAAGCCTCCAGGCATTGCACCACACGTCAGCACCAGAAGGAAGCCCCCCAGCTGCCCTCCAGTTCATGGGCCGGAGCCCTGCCCGGCCAGCTCAGCCCGGCCCAGAGCCACTGGTGCAGCCAGGCCTGGCACTCGGGCGCTGGTGGCTGGCAGGCTGGGGAGGGAGCCCAGAAGAGGCCCTGCCAGCAACTCCCTCTCTTCTGGTCTCCTCTTCTCTGCTGCTGGTCATGGGGCATGCGGGGGTTGGACCAGTCCATGTAGGGCTTTCAGGTCATGACCAAGTCTGCCACCTCCCCAGGGATGGCAGCTGGGCAATTCTGGGGCACCAGTGCCAGGTGCTGCTCATGATGCTCCACAGCCGACTCGCAGGGAGCACCCTCCAGAGCAGCCTGCCCAAGCTCTGTCTGGAGGGGACGTGGGCTGGCTCGGGGCCACGGCTCAGGGTAAAGGACACACCCCACTGGGCAGGTGAACATGGAAAGAGTCACCCTGCCCTGCAGCCGGGGTGGGGGATCTCATCATGCCCCCGCTAGGAGGGAGCAACGAAGGGACCCCTGCTCAGCGGGAGCTGGCAGAACCTCAGCCCTGGCCTCCACCTACCCCCGCCCCACACAGCATCATCACCTGGCTCTTCTCGAAACCCCACCGCGGCCTGGCCAACGTGCCGAGCAGCCCGACTGCAAATGGTGGCGCTACAGGCCAGTCAAGGCTGGGGGTTGCTGAGGGACTTTGGGGCCGACCAAACCAGGGGAAACGGGCAACGCACTGGCAGAGGAAAGCCAGTGCTCATAGAGTCATAAATATTAAGGTCAGAAGGGACCATTATGATCATCTAGTCTGACCTCCTGCACAATGCAGGCCACAGAATCTCACCCACCCACTCTTGCAAAAAGCCTCTCACCTATGTCTGAGCTATTGAAGTCCTCAAATCATAGTTTAAAGACTTCAAAATGCAGAGAATCCTCCAGCAAGTGACCTGTGCCCCATGCTGCAGAGGAAGGGGAAAAATCCCCAGGGCCTTTTCCAATCTGCCCTGGAGGAAAATTCCTTCCTGACCCCAAATATGGCGATCAGCTGAACCCTGAGCATGTGGGCAAGATTCACCAGCCAGATACCCAGGAAAGAATTCTCTGTAGTAACTCAGATCCCACCCCATCTAACATCCCATCACAAGCCACTGGGCCTATTTACCATGAATAGTTAAAGATCAATTAATTGCCAAAATCTTGTTATCCCATCATACCATCTCCTCCATAAACTTATCGAGTTTAATCTTAAAGCCAGATAGATCTTTTGCCCCCACTGCTTCCTTTGGAAGGCTATTCCAAAACTTCACTCCTCTGATGGTTAGAAACCTTCGTCTAATTTCTAGTCTAAACTTCCTGGTGGCCAGTTTATATCCATTTGTTCTTGTGTCCACATTGGTACTGAGCTTAAATAATTCCTCTCCCTCTCCGGTATTTATCCCTCTGATATATTCATAGGGAGCAATCATATCTCCCCTCAATCTTCTTTTAGTTAGGCTAAACAAGCCAAGCTCCTTGAGTCTCCTTTCATAAGACAAGTTTCCCATTCCTCGGATCATCCTAGTAGCCCTTCTCTGTACCTGTTCCAGTTTGAATTCATCCTTCTTAAACATGGGAGACCAGAACTGCACACAGTATTCCAGGAGAGGTCTCACCTGTGCCTTGTATAATGGTACTAAGACCTCATCTCTACTGGAAATACCTCGCCTGATGCATCCTAAGACCTCATTAGCTTTTTTCACGGCCATATCACATTGGCAGCTCATAGTCATCCTGTGGTCAACCAATACTCCAAGGTCCTTCTTCTCCTCCGTTATTTCTAATTGATGCGTCCCCAGTTTATAACTAAAATTCTTGTTATTAATCCCTAAATGCATGACCTTACACTTCTCACTATTAAATTTCATCCTATCACTATTACTCCAGTTTACAAGGTCATCCAGATCCTCCTGTATGATATCCCGGTCCTTCTCTAAATTGGCAATACCTCCCAGCTTTGTATCATCCACAAACTTTATTAGCACATTCCTGCTTTTTGTGCCAAGGTCAGTAAT